GCTGCTGCTGCTGAAGATGGACCCAAAGTGTCCATTTGCTTATTTTTCAAAATATGGGCCCAAAGTAGGAAAAGGGTCTCTTGTTTAATAAGCTTCTTTTTGAAGTATGTTGTTGAGCCAGCCAACAAAAGAGTCCTTGGAAGACGACGGCAGCCGGGGAATCGATGTGGTAGTGATGACGGTGAAGAGAAGCAAGGGCCAGGACTGACCCACCCACAGAGAGGAGGGAGGGAACACAGCCCACATGGGAGAACGTGGCTTTCAACAGGAGAAAAGGGTCAGCAGCAACAGTGTCAGTCACCATTTCGACGGTTGGTACGGACGTTCCCATGTGCACAATATCCAGTCTGATCTACGACAAACTACTTTGTGTTATTGATATGAGTTTTGACATGTGAACTTGTGAAAGATAAAATGGGTTCCGTATGAGTGTCTTCTTTTTCTTTTTTTTCTTTAATTCTAAACTCCATAACATATACATTGAATCTGCTAAAAACTCAGTGTTCATTTTTAAGGTAGGTGAGTTCAGGTTCTAGGATCATTATTTAAATTTTCTAAATATAGTATATTGTTGTAAAGAAGTTAGTACATATTAATTTTAACCTTAAAAAAAAATTGAAGTTTTAATTTTTATTTAGAAATTAATATTTTAATTTAAAATTTAAAAATATAATCAGTTTTTAAATTTAAATATCAATATCTAATAAAATAATTTTTTAAAATTTAAATTAAATTTTAATTTAAAAACAACACAATTTTAGGTTAAAACTTTAATTTTTTTGAGAGTCGAGATTAATATATATATTTTTTGTTATAAGTGATACATTTTAAAAATTAATTTTTTTAAAAAATTTATTTTAGAAAACACAAACCTAATTTAGTGGCACTGACCATTCAAAAAATAAAATAAAATAAAAATTGCTAACATGTTTTTGATCGGATCTAAATATTCCAAACAAATGTATAAGAAGGAATTGAAAAAAAAAATGAAGATCCTCTTCATGTGCAGGTGCTATGAATTAATGTCCTTAAAACTTTATCACCATGCATGTGCTTTGGGTGGTAGCAATCAACTCTGTGATTATGATATAGATAAGGTATCACCAAAATTCAAAGATATATAATAAGAATTTTTTTTACTTGTATTCTAAAAATATAGGTTTAAATTCATTAATTAAGACATGTTTAATTAATTTTACACATTTTTACATCAAATTCATTTTTTTTTATAGATTTTGAATATAAATATTTTATTTTATTTTAATTTTACATTTTATTTTTTATTTTATTTAAATTTTATATGAAATTTTCTACCAATTTAATTACAATAATACAATTAATGAGATTTAATTTGTATCTTAAAGACACAAGTTAAAAAATCTTTATTAATAATACCTCAGGAAGGGGTCTCATGGTTAGAATTGCACTGAAATACAAAATATTAAATGGACGAACTCACTGTCATTATTAGGGACTTTTTATCCTCTAATTATTCGTTTTTTATATTTCAGTATAGTGCAATAAAAAAAAAA